ACTTATTTTTAGTGTGTGTGTGTGTGTGTCGACGTGTGTGTATATGTGTGTGTGTGTGTGTGTGTGTGTGTGTGTGTGTTTGTGGAGAGTGTTGTGTATCTCAGCAAGAAGAAAAAGCAAATTGAAAATCAGGTTTGACAATGACAGTGAGCTTGTTATTCTCATACTTTAAAACACTCAGGTCTATACTGGGAATACACAAGTTTGTTTTTCTATCTTTATTAGGTTGTTTTGACCTCCATTCATTTMGCTATCCTAACCTTGACTTTTACTCATAATCTGATCATTACCAGTCCCTATGCTTATCATTACCTTACCCTAACCAGTCCCTTAATTTACACGTTAGCCCAATAACACAAATATGATGTTCCAGCTTATTAGGATCCAGCTTTGGTGCCCATAAGGACTACCAGTTCTGACAAGGTAGGTTCTTCTACCAAAATAGGTCCTAAAAGGTAACAAAAAAATCAGATACACCCTTAAACAATACAGATATTTAAAAAGTGCACTGTTCAGATGTGTCTTCTTAACTTTAGTGCAGAAGTAAATTTAAAATCCTGCTTTTGTGGGGGAAAAATAAGCAAAGTTATAGCAATAATCTAATTCATTTGATTCAAAGCAAACTTTACTCGAGCAAATTTCACCAAATAATCCAAACCAAATGGACACAGAGACACACTACACAACCATAATCAAGGATAGCACAACCAAATTGACTTGGGGGGGGGATCCTATGCAAATAAATATTAGTCCACTCAGACTGAGCACACTCTGGGCACAGCTCTGTTTCACGTCCTGATTCAGCCAGGTCTTGCGTACAAGTCGTCGTAAAACAGTTCTGAATCGTGGCTGCAGAAACACCTGGATGTGAAAGGAGATGCTTTGACATTTTGAATAAATTCTAATTCCCCATCACTTTAAAGGAGCTATTATGCATTTTCCAGCTGTATCGTTCAGTCTTATACCACAATCACATAACTACTTTACCTCCAGCTGATATGAAAACGCTGTATAAATCAAAAATAAATTTGACTTAGCATCAGTTTATCTAAATACCTCCTACCATTTCAGACACTCCCACTTTAGCACACAACAATGGTACCGGGGAGGGATGCTCTGTGGGACGGGAGCTCAGCTGCAAACTGAGCTCAAGGGAGGAGCTTTGTGTAAATAGGCGGAGCTTTGTAGCAGTTAGATTTAGGCAGCTCCACATGGCTACAGAAGGTCCAAGGATTTCTCAAACATGCATGAATGAGTCAAAGCAACACCCTGGGTGTGTTTTTAATGAGGGAATGACATTATAAAATGATATAAAGCTCAAAACTTTTGCATATAATCTCCTCTTTAATGTCATTCGGCCGTTCAATGACCCCTAATTAAAACACCTCAAATGTTTGTGCAAAATCACTCTGTCCTCTTGTGAACAGAGAACTGTTAAATGAAATTCTCATCAGACTCCATATTGCAAAATAACCCAAACGTTCAGTCTGTGTGCGTCGGTGTCGATGTTGAATAAAGATGCCATCTTTGGCCTCTACCTGGAGTGTTGAGCAGACGGGACATGCGGCAAATGTAGGTGATTTGCTGTTCGCAGTGTTCTGCACTGGTGGTGATGGCTGTCACCTGGAAACACAGGCGGGGAGGTGGATTTCAACTTTATCTTGTTCAACCAGACATGCCAATTTCATGTAACAAATTATTACGAGGGGGAAAAAAAGGTAAGAAATTGCTTCCAGTGACTTTTAGCATCTGAAAATGGGGACAAGTCAGCCATACAAACACTGAGAGAACATAATTACAGCAAGGATTTGCTGCTCAAAATATGTCATCTTCTAGAACATTGCTGTCTCGCGTAAATTGCAGCTAAAAACCACTGTCACTCCTCATGGGGGGGCGTTGAAACATGTAAAGTTTGCCTCCAGTTTGCTTTTGACCGAGAGTGACAACTGCGATCTATAACCACTCAGCAGAAAGATTAAGGTATCGACTCTTGAATGTGAGAGAGCAGTTTCAGACAGGCTGAGGTGTATTTAGATGAACCACAGCAGACAAGTCATACAGGGATGAGGTTAAATACTCATTATGTTAGTTTATCACCGGGCGTTTCCGGGACCAAACACTAATTCAATCTGCAGCTTTATTTGGGGGGGCAGAAAAACGGTGGAGAGGCTGCAGTTTGTGTTGGTTTCACAACAAATACATTGATTTGTGGCATAAACATTGATGAAAGATCCTCACTGTCCCCCTTTCCTACTAAGATTCGACATGACAGAACTATCATTTAGGATTATCTAATGATTCAGATGTTTCATGTGACAAAACAAGCATTGGTGTGAATAATTTATAAAAGTTTGCGTGTGTTACCTGGTCCATGGAGGCACTATAGTTGACCTGCAGGACGGTGCGTTTCTCTCTGCTAGAGCCTGTGATYAAAGTTTTGGGTGGCAGGTTGTTCACAACGGTCATCCACACTTTGTCTTCTACAGAGAAGCAAATGAAAAAACAAAAAACAAAAAACACGCTGGTGAGATAGAGCATTTAAAGAAGGGGAAAAAAAGCCTAATATTGAAACCTGGTGCTAAATGTTGATTTTAAACGTATAGAAATTCCACAGCAGCTTAAGGCTGCGTCACACAGAAAGAGACAACACACAGACAGATTCCATCCATGACCATTCAGATGTCAAATGTGAAACCACGCGAGACTTCTTGGATTCTCGTGAGAATTCAAATGTCAGAGGAAAAGTCTTGCGTGACCTCCAGAGCAGTGGCGGATCTAGGATTTTTCTGAGTAAAGGACCGCCAAGGGGTCACAATACTCATAGAGGGGCCAAGTATTTGTTCAACATCCTTGCACATAAATCCTTGGCTTTGGTAAGGTGTATAAATTTAACTGGTCACATATGTTCCAACAGTTCTAACGTAATGTAATGTTATTAAAAAAGCTTAAATTCTTCTTATCAATTTTACATGCATTTTTACTGTACATGGATAAAATATTCTCAAAGCTTGTGAGAAAATGAAGCAATTGTTTGCCAATTGAAAGATATTGTTTGCAAAACTGTTCAAGTCTTTTAAAGAAGAGAAGAAGACTTCTGTAAGATGGATTCATGCTGGACTGTTTGACTCATTAGCGCCTCTAGTGTTTGGGCACRGAACTGCACCCACCATCACTGCTCTCAGGCAAAGAACAGATGAGTGTCAGRACAGGGGCACTTCAGGGGGCCAATCAGATTTCAGCAGGGGCCAATGCCCCTGTGGCCCCGCCCCTAGAACTGCCCCTGCTCCAGAGAGACATGAGTTCAGAGTAAATAAACATTTGAAACGAGGAAGAAGCAATGTTGATTGTTTGCGGACTATTTTTAATAGAGACAGTTTCTTATGTCTTCTGTATTTCAGAATCCCCTCCATGTTTACRTCACCTCGCTTTCTGATTGGATACACATCACATTCAACAGGCTGCGAGCTCGTTTGCATTCAGGTGGACACTACACACACTGTGACATTGGGCCAAGACCATCCAACCTKTTGAATATCCCCAATTTGTGGTCAGAGATGTCCTGACTTCATTCCAAGCCGATTAGATCAGTAGTTCCCAACCTTTTTGTCTTCTGACCCACAAAATATCCATGGCAAAAACTTGTGACCCCAAATATTACTGGTCTGAGTACACGAACTTCGTTTATAACCCTAAAAAC